ATCAATTTGGGCCTCCCATTTAATGTGGGGTCTACTTCCCCCTGTCCCGCTCCCCTCCGGTGGTGGGCCCCCCTGCCGCTGGTGCATTGGCGGCTCTCAGTAGCTGAGGCTGGTGGTGGCCTGGTGGGGTGTGTGCGGGCCCGCCCTGGTGGCTGCCTGCCGGTGCCTGGGTGCCCTGGCTCTGTCTGGCCTCTGCTGGGGGGTTGTATAACCTCGGGGCTCGGTGTCCATGGCGCCGGATCTACTCTAGAGGGGTGGGTTGCCGGCGGAGCCTGTGGACTTGTCGCTGCAGCCTCCTGGGGTTTCTGCATTGTGGTTGTGGGGGATCGTCTGGGGCTTCCCTTTGCTTCTCTCTCTCTGGGGGGTGCATGTGTCCCTGTTGGGGGACTCCCAGAGCTCCGGGGTTGGAGACCGCTGTGTGTCTGTGGCTCCGGTTTTCCCTGTGTTACCATCGTGTCCAGTGGGGACGGGTCTGTTTAGATCCAGGTGTTTATCAGATATACACTCATTTGGGTTGTGGTGGCCACTAAATACAAACCGGATTCCAAAAAAAGTTGGGACACTAAACAAATTGTGAATAAAAACTGAATGCAATGACGTGGAGATGGCAAATGTCAATATTTTATTCATAATATAACATAGATGACAGATCAAAAGTTTAATTTGAATAAATGTAACATTTTAAATGAAAAATATGTTGATCCAAAATTTCACAGTGTCAACAAATCCCAAAAAAGTTGGGACAAGTAGCAATAAGTGGCTGGAAAAAGGAAATTGAGCATATAATGAACAGCTGGAAGACCAATTAACACTAATTAGGTCAATTGACAACATGATTGGGTATAAAAAGAGTTTCTCAGAGTGTCAGTGTCTCTCAGAAGCCAAGATGGTAAGAGGATCACCAATTCCACCATTGTTGCGCAGAAAGATAGTGCAGCAATACCAGAATAGTGTTACCCAGCGTAAAATAGCAAAGACTTTTAAGTTATCATCATCAGCTGTGCATAACATCATCAAAAGATTCAGAGAATCTGGAACAATCGCTGTGCGTAAGGGTCAAGGCCGTAAAACTACTGGATGCTCGTGATCTCCGGGCCCTTAAACGTCACTGCACCTCAAACTGGAATGCCACTGTCAAGGAAATAACAGAATGGGCTCAGGAATACTTCCAGAAAGCATTGTCAGTGAACACAATCTACCGTGCCATCCGCCGTTGCCAGCTGAAACTCTCCAGTGCAAAGAGGAAGCCATTTCTAAGCAAGCTCCACAAGCTCAGACGTTTGCACTGGGCCAGGGGTCATTTAAAATGGAGTGTGGCAAAATGGAAGACTGTTCTGTGGTCAGATGAGTCACGATTTGAAGTTCTTTATGGAACACTGGGACGCCATGTCATCCGGACCAGAGAGGACAAGGATAGCCCAAGTTGTTATCAACGCTCCGTTCAGAAGCCTGCATCACTGATGGTATGGGGTTGCATGAGCGCTTGTGGCATGGGCAGCTTGCATGTCTGGAAAGGCACCATTAATGCAGAGAACTATGTTCAGGTTCTAGAACAACATATGCTCCCATCTAGACGTCATCTCTTTCAGGGAAGACCCTGCATTTTTCAACACGATAACGCCAGACCACATTCTGCAGCAATCACAACATCATGGCTACGTAGGAGAAGGATCCGGGTACTGAAATGGCCAGCCTGCAGTCCAGATCTTTCACCTATAGAGAACATTTGGTGCATCATAAAGAGGAAGGTGCAACAAAGAAGGCCCAAGACGATTGAACAGTTAGAGGCCTGTATTAGACATGAATGGGAGAGCATTCCTATTTCTAAACTGGAGAAACTGGTCTCCTCTGTCCCCAGACGTCTGTTGAGTGTTGGAAGAAGAAGGGGGGATGCCACACAGTGGGAAAAATGGACTTGTCCCAACTTTTTTGGGATTTGTTGACGCCATGAAATTTGGAAACAACAGATTTTTCCCTTAAAATGATACATTCTCTCAGTTTAAACTTTTGATCTGTGATTTGTGTTCTATTCTGAATAAAATATTAGATGTTGGCACCTCCACATCATTGCATTCAGTTTTTATTCACAATTTGTTTAGTGTCCCAACTTTTTTGCAATCCGGTTTGTATATCTTGCATTACCATTTACTGTATAAAATACTTTCTAATGATGTTATAAGTTTCATTATGTGTTGTTTGTTGTTGTGGTTTCTCGGTTTTGTCTTGCTTTTGTTTTTTTTTTCCTTCCGCAGGTCTAGAGGCAGACTTCAATGATGTCGAATCGTGTTCTCTTTATACCTCCCTCTCTCCTCTGTTCCTATCTTCTTCTTTACCTTTTAACTCTTCTCCCACTTTTCTGCTTTGTTTTCTTCTTTGTTTTTCATCCCCATGTCCATTACATCTGAAACCAGCCCAAAGCAAATTCTAATAAAATTTAATTTATATATCAAGCAGAGCATTAAGGCCAGCCATAATGCTCTGCTTGTGAAAGTAAATCTGTTGGGCATCACTTTGACACTCAGACAGTAATTCTAAGTGTCACAATGCTGGACAGGACAAAAAAAACTCGTTACTAGAACCTCCTTCTTCCACCTGCGTAATATCACTAACATTAGAAACATCTGATCTAAAGATGATGCAGAAAAACTGGTCCATGCATTTGTCACGTCTAGACTGGACTATTGCAATGGTTTATTATCTGGGTGTCCAAATACTTCTTTAAAACGTCTTCAGTTGATCCAAAATGCTGCTGCCAGAGTCTTAACTGGAGTTACTGGGAGAGATCATATCTCTCCAGTTTTAGCTTCTCTCCATTGGCTCCCTGTCAAATCCAGAATAGAATTCAAAATCTTACTTCTAACCTACAAAGCTCTCAACAACCTAGCTCCATCTTATATTACAGATCTTGTTGTTCCATATTTTCCTAACAGAGCACTTCACTCTCAGACTGCAGGTTTACTTGTGGTTCCTAGAGTTACAAAAGCTGAATGGGAGGAAGATCTTTCAGTTCTCAGGCTCCTCTCTTGGGGAACCAACTTCCAGTTTCCGTCCGCGAGGCTGACACATTGTCCAGTTTAAGACTGGGATTAAGACTTTCCTTTTTTATCCTATAGCTAGGGTTGGCTTGTTATACTGTCTTAAGCTTAGACTACTAGAGGAAAAACTGACCTAATTTCCTTAAATGAATTGTTAAAATTGAATAGTTTTCATTTGATACTATTTCTATCTTAACATGTGATTCTTGACCTGCCATTGTGTATCTGTTCCTACCAAACCCAGCCGGTCGAAGCAGATGGTCCTCTTGTCCTGATCCTGGTTCTGCTAAAGGTTTCTTCCTCATGAGGGAGTTTTTCCTTTCCACTGTCGCCTTCAGACTTGCTCAGGATGAGAGTTCTGTGATGGAGTTAAATTCTAGGTGGTCTGCTCCTCAGATAAATAATGTTACATTATTATTTTAAAATATGAATGTTTCTGTTCAGTGCCCTGAGACGACTTCTGTTGTGACTTGGCGCTATTTAAATAAACTGAACTGAATGAATATTTTAATATAAATTTTAATGTTTGACAACCAGCACACAAACTCAACAAAAATCAAACTACTAAACCAAATGCTAAAAAAAAAAAAAAAAAAAAAAAAAAAAAGAGTAGTTTTAAATTTTCTGTGCAAGGTGCGCACTCTAGTGGTAAAACTCCTCTCAACGTTTCGAAGCGGAACCTTCGTTTTTCAACCCGGAACATGTTTCTTGTAACACATAACATCCGTGCGCGACATGTCTACATCAACACAAACCACGCTAACTCTATATAAACCTTATTCATGTAAGTATTAAGTTATTCTTATGTTATTTTTGCTCGGATTGTCACTTGTAAAGAATTATTTTGGACTGTATCGTTTGAACTGTCGAAGGGTAAAGGTTTTAGCGCGTGCCTCAAACATTAGCGTAAAGTTAGCATGCCGTTAAACTTTGAACTTCTCTTTGAATTTACTACTTTCACTCCCTGTTAGCGCATCTTTGCAACATTTAAACACGTCATTTCGATCTTTATTACAATATTATCAAATCTAATAGCTAGTTATCCTCTTTATTCACAATTTATCTGTTAAAAGTCTCCGCAGAGTCGCCGGTTCGTGATCTTTTTTCACACTTTGACTTTAATTTTCGTGTTGGTGAACTTTTCGAGGCCTGTGTCACATGTCCAAGGGCCTGTGAGGAATACACAACTCATCACGCTCCTCTGTGGGTGGATGATAATAATATATTTTAGTGTCACATCAGTGCTTCATGAAGTACCTTGATCAATATTCTTCACGACTTTTGAATATCTCTGAAAGTTTTTGATTCCTCTGCACAGCCCTGTAGCATCACGTGTTCAGGAGGACTTTTTAAACAGGTTTGTCGAAATGGGACCTTTATTTAATAGATGCTATGAATATGTGAACCATAAAATTAGGCATAGATGAAAACATACAGGTGCTGGTCATAAAATTAGAATATCATGATAAAGTTTATTTATTTCAGTAATTCCATTCAAAAAGTGAAACTTGTTTATTATATTCATTCATTACACACAGACTGATATATTTCAAATGTTTATTTCTTTTAATGTTGATGATTATAACTGACAACTAATGAAAACCCCAAATGCAGCACCTGTAGATTGTCTTGAGTTGTTACTGTCTGCACTCTGCGGTGCAATATAAGTTCATGTAAATTATAAATTCAATGTGTTTTTATTTATTTGTGTTTTTCCCCCATCAGCTCACCTTTTTCTTAAATTTTAAAAGTATAAAATTTAGAATATTTTACAGGGATTAACTCAGATGAACCACTTTTTAATCATCTGAATATTCTCATAAAATAAAATAATAAGGCACAGACCACTCATTTGCTATCACCTATATCCATCCCACTAATATTCATCCATTTGTGCTCTATTTGTCATATTTCCAGGCTGAAGAAAACAGACGTCCCTGAAACCTGTCAAGCTGCTTCTGAATCATGAGTGGCTCAAAGCCAGACATCCTGTGGTCTCCCCACCACCCGGACCGCTACGTCATCTGTGACTCTGAGCTGGGACTGTATCGCATTGGACCTGTGGGAAGCACAGAAACAAAGCCCGGCACTCTGTCACTCTCTAAAGAAACTGCTGCTACTTTACTAGCCATAAACTCTGACACTCCCTATATGAAATGTGTGGCCTGGTACCCGAAGCACGAGTCTGAGTGTTTACTCGCTGTGGGACAAGCTAACGGCAGAGTGGTGCTCACTAGTTTGGGTCAGAGCCACAACTCCACGTGTAAAGAGCTGGTAGGCAAAGAGTTTGTGCCTAAACATGCCCGTCAATGCAACACTTTAGCCTGGAACCCTGTGGACAGCAACTTACTGGCTGCTGGCTTGGATAAACACCGGGCAGACTTCTCTGTCCTTATATGGGATATCAGCAGCAAATTTGCCCCGGAGACGAGCGTAGCAGCTGAGAAAATTCGGATGTCGTTCGTGGATTTGGACTCGAGCACAGTAGTGACTAAGCCGTTATATGAGTTGGGCCAGAATGATGCGTGCCTCTCACTTTGCTGGCTGCTTCGGGACCCAAAGCTGCTCTTGGCTGGCATGCACCGAAACCTTGCAATATTTGACTTGAGAAACACGAGCCAGAAAATGTTCGTCAACACCAAGGCCATCCAGGGAGTGACGGTGGACCCACACTTCCATGACCGTGTGGCCTCCTTCTTCGAGGGGCAGGTGGCTATTTGGGACCTGAGGAAGTTTGAGAAGCCTGTGCTCACGCTCACAGAGCAGCCCAAACCTCTCACCAAGGTATGAAGAGGCCTTTTTATTATTCTAGAGGTACCATGTTTTTTACTGTGTCAATGCTTCCCTGTTTTTTATTATTATTTATTTATTGTCAACCAATCACTTCTGCACTTTGTGGTATTTTAGCTCTTCAAATATCAAAACTTTCAGTTCACCCAGGTGATTAGTGCTTTGACTGTTAGGTTTTGTAATTTTTATGCTTTTCACAAATTATAATCGTTTACAAATATTTTTTCCATAAAATACATTAAAATCTTTTTAAATCCTTAAATAAATGTTTTAGCAAGACCTTTGCTGCTTTGGGCTTCTAGCTACCATTTTTTACCTTTAGCTTTTAGCTAGCGTTATGCTACTTTTAGCAAGCCTTTCATTACTTATAGCTTCTAGCTACCATTTGGTATCTTTAGCATTTAGCTTTTTTTTTGCCAACCTTTTGTTACTTGTAGCTATTCCTTTGCTAATTTTAGCTTTTTGTTAACCTTTTGTTGCTTTGAGATATTTTGTTATTTAGCTTTTAGCTATCTGCTTCTTTGGCTTCTAGCTGCAACTTGTTATCTTTAGCTTTCAACTAGCTTTCTGCTACTTTTGGCCACTTATTGTGTTCCTTTTAGATTATGCCTAAGCTTTTGCTGCTTTTAGTTTTCACGACTCAGTTTCAGCTTCTTTAGCGATTTGTTCAGTCGTTCGGCTCAGCCTTCACAAATTTTCTCGTTTAAACACGGTTTTTGTTGTAGCGCTTTCCTTTCTTTTTACCAGGTGGCGTGGTGTCCAACACGAACCGGACTCCTCGCCACTCTGACTCGTGACAGCAACATCATCCGGCTGTACGACATGCAGCACACCCCCACGCCCATCGGTGACGAGACGGAGCCCACCATCATTGAGCGAAGCGTGCAGCCCTGCGAAAGCCAGATCGGCAGCTTCGCCTGGCACCCCTCCTCTCAGAACCGCATGGTGGTGGTTTCAGCGACCAACCGGGTTATGACCGACTTCACAGTGTTCGAGCGCATCTCTCTGGCCTGGAGCTCCACAACGTCGCTCATGTGGGCGTGCGGTCGGCACTTATACGACTGCGTCGAGGATTCGGCTGACGGGGCCGAGAACGCAGCAGAGAAGGACATCGCCACTAAGATGAGGGAACGGGCTCAGTCCAGGTACGGCCACAATACGGTCCAGGTGTGGAGGAACCACCTGCTGGCGGGAGGGAATGACTCGCAGCTCAAGTGTTTATGGTATGACCTCTATTATATCCTTTGAGAGAATAAAGTGATCAAATAAACGAGGTTAGTGGTTTAACAGCATGTTACACCCCAAAGGTTTGCAGAGGTTTTGACAGAATTTACTGTTATTGGTTAATTTTCTCAATTTTGTCCATTTAATTTAGTTTAAAACTAGAAGCAGCTCAAACCTGTTTTTTATGTTTTTGTACCGGGATCCTGCAGTTTGTTCAAGTTCTGCATGAAAAGGTGAACAAACAAATAAGCAACCGTCTAAATAATTTGCAAAAAGTTTTTTAAGGTAAAAGGTACATTTTATGAGCTCTTTGTTGGAGTCTATTAATTCAACAATTTGACCAAATGAATGTTAATAAATGAACACAGCTAATTAAAATATAAATACATGTTGTCAAATGTTATTTCTTAGCCTTTCTAGCACTTTTTATTTTCACAAAATCTGAATTTATCTTTAAATCAACTCTTTTCTAGAAAGTTATATGTGGTATTACTGTTACTTTTAATAGTAATATTAACAAAAATAGATTAATTTAAACTTACAGTTAATTATTGGAGGCATTTTGTTCATAGAAAATTGGTGGAAATGCATTTTTTTCCCCAAGATTTTTGCATTTTTGGTTTCGCTTAACAACGTTAACTATGTTTTATTGTTTTCTGCTTATTTCCAACTTTAACATTTGGTTGTTCGACTCTAAACTAGTTTGGTTTCAGACATGTCCACATGTTGTGCGGTTGTTTTGCATTTTGTTTGGAGTGTACTATGAACTAGATTCCTATGTAAGCGTCACATATGAAGCAGTGTGCAGAGGACCTGGAGCTGAAGCAGCAGGGCAACAAACAGTCTGTGTTTTATTCTGGGATCAAGAACATCGTCAAGACCAGCTCAGGTAAAATAAATTATTTAGAAATCAGTTTGCAGGTATGTTAATCTAAAAACACTGTTTATTGACTTTTCTGTCCATGTTTTTCTGTAAAGGCACAACCGAGAGCCGCAGGTGTTGGAGCGGCTCGGACCAGCAGACGGACGTGCCGCGCTTCATCAGCGATGAGCGCAGCCTCGCCCTGCGGCTCTGCGGCTGGATCAGCCGCGGTCCTGACATCAACGTGGAGACCTTCCTGCGATCTCTGGAGCAGGAGCGCGAGTGGGAGCGGGCGGCCGCCATCGCTCTGTTCAATCTGGACATCCGCCGGGCGATCCAGATCCTCAACAAGGGAGCCACAGCTGAGAACGGTGAGCTGAAGAGGGTTAAAGGTCATCTTGTCAATCACACCCTCTTATAAATCAGTGTCATGTTATAAAAGCAAGGATCCTTCACTGACCGCTGTTGAACATGTATTTATGAGAAGAAAGAAACAAGAACATGCACTTCCTGCAAAAATGAATTTTGAGCTGAATGACTTTGCTGAAAGTTACAGAATATGTCGTTAAAGGTAAAACAAGCATAACGGAAGCTAGAATAGACTGAGCACAAGCTAAAAGCTGTGGAGCACAAGCTAAAGTAGTAGAACTCAATCTAAAAGAGGTGGTGCATTATTTAAAGCTGTGGAGAACAAGCTAAAAGAGGCAGAGCATGAACTGAATGCTGCAGGACACAAGCTAAAATAAGCAAAACTGCAGCTAAAACTAAAAGGGGCAGTGTGGTAGTTAAAGGAAACAGAACAGTAGCTAAAAGCTGCAGGACACAAGCTAAAATAAGCAAAACTGCAGCTAAAACTAAAAGGGGCAGTGTGGTAGTTAAAGGAAACAGAACAGTAGCTAAAAGTGGCAAAAGAGGATCTAAATAAAATGGGTTCGCTAAGGCAGATTTAAAAAGAATAAAGTTTTTGTTGAAAGTTAAAGTCTCTTGGTGCGTTTTTATGGGGGATTTTATTTTAAATACTCTTCATTGTTTTTTAAAGTCTAAAAATTAGAACAGCCAAAAGTCTGGGCGTGCTAATCCTGATCGAGCTGAACGTTTTGGAAGATAAAGAATAGAAACAGCCTTTATTGTCTCACAGATGGGAAATTCAGTGTAACAGCAGCAACAGATAAAAAGATTCACACAAAAAGTTCCTAAAATGTTAAAAACAATTTATAAGGAAGAGTAACTAAAATGGCTTAAAGTATGAGGTCCGCACAAGAACGTCTGATGTACAACAGCGCTTCCCTGATTTCTCAGAAACGCTTAAATCTTGTTACCATATGAGAGAGGATGCGTCTTGGCTGAGCGCACACACACGCGCACACACCCAACAGTGACAGAAAAAAACATGGCTGACATCCTGAGTGAGCTGAAGAGGCTTGAGGGGACCTCGCTCCAAAATTATGCAACAACCTCCCTTTTCTTATTCGACAGGGTTCTTCCCCGTTTCTAATTCTTATCTTATTCTTATCCTCACTTTAGACTTTGCTGCTGTTTTCATCCGTGTTGTAGCAGAAGCTTGTCTGGACCGAGGGATTATTCAGTGACAGTGATGTAATCTGTGGGCTTAGCCTCCGCCAAACACCGAGCATGATCATTAAACCAAATAAATTTAGACTCTTGAGGAGAAACAAAACAAAATCTGAGGAATCTCAAGAATGTGGCAGCATGTTGATGCAGAGCTTCTCACACTCAGGTTGGGTGGAATGCTGATGTTTACACACAAAGGACAAAGAAAAATGTCACCGATGTGGGTCAAGCATTTTTCTGTTGTGCGCTCCAACGAGCGCTTCCTGAGCGAGGCGGGTGGAGGCGTTCATTAGATAAGACGTGCCAACATTTCAGCTTCGTTTCAGATGGCCCCTCCAGCTGAATGCATCGATAAGTAACTAAATAAAGTCTATTTTGCACTTTTCACAGTTAAAAGTTCCACGACAATAAAAACAGTACATAGATATAAAATGTGTAAGATAAGAAATAAACAACAAACTGTAAGCCAGCATACGTTTAGATTGACACGCTCCCAACCTCACGTTGTGAAGCGACACAAAGTCGTAACATATCGTAAAAATTATGACTTTAATTGGATGTTATTTTAGGAGATTCTTTCCCCAACACAGTTTTTATTAAATGCTCGTCAAACGTGCACGTTTACAGTGTAGTCTCAGTCTGGCCGTAAACGTTCTCTTGTCCTGCCCAAAATGTCCGCTCAAGATAATTTAACAAACCTTCAAACAAACTTGCATCATCGTTAGACTCTTTTCATCACCCCAGCTACAAGGTCAAGGTCACAAATCAAGGTCAATGTTATACAAGGGCTTTTCTTGTCCAGTTTGTTGTTCTCTTGTCGGTGTTTGCTTTGCTCCAAAGTACAATTTAATTAAACAGAAAGGGCATTATAAATGCTTCTTTTTTATGTTTATGACACTTTTATTATTTCAGTTTGGCACTAAATCTTTGTCACAGATGAGAAGAGAAGGCAAACAGTTTGCTTTAATGTCCAAGCATAAAAAACAACATAAAATATTTCACCTGCCGCAGAAAGACGAAGGCAGGCAATCATGTTTTTGCCCATTTCTCTGTGTCCGTATCCAAAACACCTCATAAACCGCTGGACAGATTTTAATGAAAGTAATCTGGATTACATCTGATACATCTGGATTACATCTGATTAACTTTTGTTTTGGAGTCAACGTGATTCAACATGGACACCAGACAAGTGACCTTAGAGGACAACAGTCTATAAATTATTAATATTACTGATGCTGAGCTAAAAGTTGGTGTGGTAGTAGCTGGGAGTCATTCTTACAATATCACATGAGATCGCACAAATAACTTTACAGTAGTCCCTCGCTACTTCGCAGTTCTTTTATTTTGGACTCGCTCTATCGCGGTTTTTCAAAATAAGATTGGACATGACACACAATTGGCTGATTGATGGACGAGCCGCACGATCTGCATGAAATTTTTATTTAAAATAAATTATTTTAAATGATTTGGCACCTGCAGCCCATACTGCAGGATCAACTTCCTGCTGCAGCTGATCAGCTGTTCTCTGTACAGAGTGGAGAAGTGGGCGTGGCCAAGAGCACTTGCAGGTGGCTGAGAGCAGAGGAGGCAGAGCTGAAATCATCACATTCTGTCTCTTTTAGAGCGTTTAGAGTTTAGAAACATTGTTTAGAACATTGCAAGAGTGTGGAAATTGTTTAAAACATCTTATATATATATATATATATATAATTATATAAATAATAAAACTAAACTACTTACTACTACCTACTATTTCTACTTGGCGGTGTTTTACTAATCGCGGCGGGGCTTCAGGGTGTGGATCCCCCGTGATAAACGAGGGATACTGTATTTGTATTGCTTGATGAAAACATTATTTCTCAACATAAAATGATCGTAGTCTAAAACTCAACATGCATTCCTTTAAGAAATGCTAGCACTTTAATTTAATCTTGATTTTCTGTCTGTACAACCAACAAAAAGGCAAAATCACATCAGCTGTTCCTTTTAGCTGGCTGTCTTTGTTTGTGCTAACCATCTGCTGGCTGTGGCTTCGATTTAAGGCAGAAGACAGAGAAGTTAACCTTAAGAAAATAAAAAATGTCCGATGAATAAATCTGCTGCCGGTCTGCTTTGTTGTGTTTGAATTTTTGTGGACAGTCTTTGTTCACGCCCGTCTAATGTTACCTAAATTGAGTGTATGAAATGCGGTCTCCACGCACACACAAAGCAGTGACTATAGAGTTTCAGCCCATCTGTCCCTGCAGCTGGATGAACTTCTGTCTGACTCATGAGGCGTGTGTGTTTCTGCTCTCCGACCATGTGAACACTGAACGAGCTTCCTCTCACTCAGCTGCTGTCTCTGCCACGTCAACACTTTTCTTGAGTTGGAAATCAGAACGGTGCTGCACTCCTAACTGTTCAGTTTGACATGCAGTGTTTGCCCCACCGTTATCCAAGGAGGGCGCCCCCCCAACAGGAACCAGCGCCCCGCCTTCCGCCACAAGTTCCACTACCGGCCAGAGAGCGAAGCTTGTTGTCAGGGACTGGTCGCCACAGGATAAGTGGCTTCGACCTAGCATTAGTAACGTAACGCTTTGCTAATAATAATGCCGCCCCCCCATCTGACAAGTATCCTATCAAGGCCAGTAATCTAGGGTAAACACTGACACGGCTGCATTTTTATTACATTTTATCCTTAATACTTTGTGAAAAATCTCAAAATACGTCAGCATTAAAAAACCCTGATTAAGCCGTGTGTTTTCACTTGGGATTTTTTAAAATTAGCCTTAATCGTGCCTCATCAAGAAGTGAAGGGCGGGAATTGGAAATACCCTCCGTCCGCCCGTATGCTTGTCCGTTCATGTTTTGAGAATGATAAGTCGACAAATGATTGAGTACCACTAACGTTTTGGTGTGTGGTTGCATCTAGGTGAAAGAAAGTTAACTATCGAAAAATGGGTTGCCATGTCACATTCAAAGATGGCCACCACCGTGTGTGTGTGTGGGTGTAAACTGGCAACTTGAGGAAACTATGCTTTCTATTTTTTATATTGCTTAAAGTATAGGTTCCTCAAATTATTGGGGTGGCCAAAAATTAATATAAAGTGGTCAAGGCCACCATTGGCCACCCCCTGGCTGCACCTTTGCACCTGGTAGTGGATAAAGTTGCTCCCTCCACTCGACAGGATCCGTCACTCTGCGCTGCCTCGAACAAGCAAAACTTAATAAAAAATCCTCCCTCTGTTCTTCTCCACAGAGTCACTCCTGTCCACTTGAACATCTCGCACCAAAAACATTAAAGTTTACTTCACTCCCTGTTCACTTCCAGTCCAGAAAACACTCATCACTAAAACTACAAACATTCACCGTTTATTCAAATCCCTCAGCGACGGGGGGGAACCGGTGTTCCGCTTTTTAAATCAGGAATTCGCTTAGAAATGAACACGTTTTAAGGAGACATGGTCAAGACCGCCGTTACAAGTAGAGACAAAATAAAATGAATGTCAGAAAGGCAAAACAAAATTAAAAGCCTCGCATACTGTGAAGGAATGCTTATCACCCGCTGCCTTTCGTGCCAGAGAGTAAGACCAAGATCATCTTATGTTGCAAAATGAATTGTAGTGGCCATCTTAAATTGTTGCGGCTCCGAGCTGCAGATGCACGTTCAATGATTTTTTTTCATAAAAATCTCTTTGACATCCGACCAATGGTTCGTGACATATTTGACTCGCTCTTGGCTGCTACCACACCAGATTTTAGCTGAATATCTGTCAAACTGAGTCGTAGTCATGTTTGTTGCCTGTCAGTTGTCAAGATGGCGGCCACAGCTAACCAGACAAACACGAGCGTGGCTGCAGTTCGGTCAGTTTTACAGTTATTGAGCTAAAACCTGTCGTGGTCGTTCCTGGAAGTCCTTCCCAGCTCATCCTCCGAGCGGTAAAGGCTGGAGCAGCTCTTGGTTTTAAAAGACTTGGAGGCTTGCTGCTCTCATGAAGCAACAAAACATCGTCTTGAACAGCTATCTGTCAGAAAAACACGTGTTCACACTTTTAAATGCATTTCGGGAAAAGAAGCTCCTGTTTTTTATTTGCTTACAGGTGACCTGAACCTAAACGTTGTCGCCATGGCTCTGTCGGGGTACACTGATGAAAAGTCCTCCCTGTGGCGGGAAATGTGCAGCTCTCTGAGGCTGCAGCTGAAGAACCCCTACCTCTGCATCATGTTTGCCTTCCTCACCAGTGAGGCCGGAGCATACGACGGCGTACTGGTAAAGAAGATAAATAATAATTCATCAAAATACCCACATAAAACTAGTTGGGGGACAAAATAACACTGGTCCTTTTGTTCTGTTTTCATAAAGAGGGTAATTTATTCTTAACACGATCATAAATTGGCTGTTAATGAGGGGAAAACCCTCAGGTGCACACGGAGAAGTGCTTTTTACATTTCCAGCTTCAGCGTTAAAGTCATAAAACAGTTGTGTAAAAACAGAAACCTTTGCCCAGATCTGAATGTGAGCTTCTGCTTCTTCTTTGGCTGCTTTAGCTTTAGACCTTTAGCTGCTCTTTTTTTTTTTTGCTTTACAAACATGTCTCAGATAAGAGTCCGACTGTTGTTGCTCTTCAAGTCCGGTATAAAAAGGTTTTCTTCAGACTTGTGCTCTGAAAACATCTCGTCTCTTTGTTTCAGTATGAGAGCAGTGTTGCTGTTCGAGACAGAGTAGCCTTCGCCTGCATGTTTCTCAGCGACGCGCAGGTAACTGCTGACTGAAGCTGTGGGCAAACTGTACTCAGCCGAGCCACCAAATGTGCCTCATGTACGTATCCTGCCGCAGTAAACTGGGTTTGTTTTGGTTGTTCTGCGGCAGCTGCCTCGTTACATCGACAAGCTGACCAACGACATGAAGGAGGCGGGCAACCTGGAGGGCATCCTGCTGACGGGGCTGACTAAAGATGGAGTGGACCTCATGGAGAGCTATGTGGACCGAACTGGAGATGTCCAGACTGCCAGCTTCTGCATGCTGAAGGTACTCTGCAGTATTCAAACCTTTACTAGCAACATGTAAACAAAAAGTGAATAAAAACTTATTCTCCAATAACGTTAATAAACCTAAACTCTTTATTAATATTTTTTACTCTGTACATGACGAGTAATAGACATTTACCTGTTGGTAGCTTCTTTTTACATAAATTACACAAACTTGATGTAAAATATGTACAAAAAAAACAGTAAATATTTAATGTCTGTATATCAAAATGTTTGTAAAACTGACTAAGAATCAATTATTGCCGAGATTAAAGTGATATTTTATTGTTTTTATGTTGTTTGAACTGGAGAATTCTGATGCTTTGTACATTGAATAATCCACACCTGTAAGAAGTACTACACACCTTCCCCCACTCACATCTGTATGTTCACACACCTGTACATCTGTACATACATCTGCACACTTTTACATGCACACAACCACACACCTGTACACA